TGTAATAACCTCACTTAAAATCAGAAAAAAATGTTAATTAAAATATGGTGAAATACCAGTTTCACCATTTTGTTCTTGGCATACAGTATTTGCTGATGTTTAGCTCAACAGTGAAATAATTTATGAACTGAATGTAGTGAGGATTACATATAACAAATCTACAGATGCTGTTCAGTCAACAGACAATTTTATGTTTTATATTTTGCCTTCCATCTATAATATGACCAGAGTGGATGCAGGGTAATTTGTAGACACTGTGTTTTAGGGTGAAAGCTGAATCTTGTATGTTGCAAATGCAGGATTTTTGTGCACCTGATTTTAGCAGTATTTTTCTTCTTATGCTCACAGAGGCTTCAAATTGAATTGTTAGAGTCCCAGTATCATTATGTATTCTTTCTTTTTAAGACCTGGGATAATAAACAGGGTGGTTTGAATACACAGGTAGAAAGAGGACACAAAAGTGAGGTAGAAAATGTAGCTGGCGGCACAGGTGGCTCTCTCTCTGTCCTTCCATCTCAAACATGTCCCTGATCCTTCATGACTATGGATGGAGGTCCTATCTCATTGTCAATGTGGAAAGCTCTTCCTTTTCTAGGCAGATCCATAATGGTAGCTTGGCATCCTAAGTGTGCCACATCTTACTGGGGAGATAAAACAGGACACACCTTTGTATTTCCTGGTCCCAGAAATTTCACCTTTTAAAATTCCCCAGGAGAGGAAAGTAGAGTGATTCTAGTTTTGGAAGCTAGACTACATGTAGGATGTGAATTTCCATAATGTCATTTTGTGACTTTGTTTTTAGAATTCTAGCTTTCAGAGAAGGAACTACTCTTTACCTTGTTTCTCTGATTTACTGTGATGGAAATGTCTCTTGACTGTAATAGGTGTTCTGAGAAACATTGCAACATGTAGATTTCGGTGCCATAGCTATCTTAGAATAATATATGGCTCCTTCTTCTTACTTCTGTCCTTTCTTTGAACTGGATTTTATTTTCTTCAGAAAATAACCAACAGTGCTTTCACTTATGTGTGTGTGTGTGTGTGTGTGTGTGTACAAAGATTTGGACAGCTTCGTGTACAGATTTTGAAAAGATATTAGTTTAATAGTGTTGTGAAATTTTAATTCATCCTTGTGAAAATTAAATCTACAGTATTTGATACAAGGCCTGGCATGAGGAAGGAACTTACGTTCATTATAACTATTACTTAAGAACGCCAAAAAATCAGAAGAGAGAGGTAATATTATTTTTCCAATTTTAAAGCTAGAAAGTGATGGAGCCAGCGTTCACACTATATTTTTCAGATAATCATTGATCTAGTGAACCTACTCCACCATGCAAAGTTTGGAACCACGGGAATGTGCAAGAAGATGAAATTAGATTGCCTACGTAATATGACTCTATGCTGTAGTACCGCAGAGCAAGAAAGGAAGATAATAAAGTGAAGGAAAAAAATTCTCAATAGTTAATGTTTTTCTCAAAGGATCCCTATCATTTGATATGCCAATGGATTTTGAAAGCTTTCTTCTGGGCCCTCTCTGGACAATAAATAGGATGCCTAAGTGAGGATGTCCCCTCACTTGCAAGTAAAAAATAAACCAGAAACTGTTTGTGAATTGGGCATAAGGGCACAAGATTGAAAAACACCTCTAGGATTCATTTGGGGGCATTCCCTACTTCTGTAATGTGGCTAAGCCATTCCTTGATGGTACATTAATTCAGTATCAAAAATCTGCATGGAAACAAGTTACGCAAGTGACTTCTATTGGCATTAACTCGGTTTGGAGTTTCATAACTCTGGCTATTGGGAAAAGGTTCAATTCTCTTAAGAATATAGGCTTCCACATGGTGGGTATCATTAGCTTTATTGAGGCAAACACAAATTAGATGCAATGCATTAGCCTAGAGAGTAGAGACCTTGTTCATCTTCCAATCCTATAGATAATGCCTAGCATAGAACATTACGGATAGTAGGTGCCAAAAAAAATAAAAAATAAAAAAGCATATTCAGCTGAACTGAAAAGGAAGGAAAATTGTCGGGTTATCAAAGCACAGATCAACTTAAGGCTTCACTTCTGTGTCTTACTATCTCATTTCCTGAAATTGCTTAGATTTAGTTTTAAAAATTATGTGAAACAAGAAAAATGCCGACTTTTCTATGAAGTTCATTCGATTATTCATTCAGCTAATATTTATTGAATATCATGTGCCCCAAGTCCTGAATGTTTTAAATGTATGCTACTATGTTTAAATAATAGTATGTAACCATAAGAACCCCAATCGATTCCTTGTAAACTGACTTAAAAGTTCCTGATGGGAGAGTTTAATGAGCTGTTGCTACAAACAAACCCTTCATGGAATGTGCTCAGTTCTCTAATTACACTAAGCAAATAATGCCAAGTTTCTTAATGTTGCCATTAGGTCACCTGCACATCCCCATTCAAACTTTAAATTATGGAGTTAATTGCTGAGGTGAGAAAGATTGTGTCATTTGCAAGAAAGAATTCATAGACTAGGAATTCAGAAACTGGGCTCTGAAGGGGTGTCACCTCTGTCAAATCACTTAATTCTGCAGGATTAGTTTTCCACAAGTGCCTCTCTTGAAGTCTGATATTCTATAACCTTTAATTAAAATCGAATACTTCTAAATTGTAGGAAGAAGATAAACTCTACAATGAGTTCTGACTCAATTCCTATTAATGATACAAAAATTCATGAGAAAATGCTCTGCATCACTGCCATCACTGGCCATCAGGGAAATGCAAATCAAAGCCACAATGAGATACCACCTCACCCCAGTGAGAATGGGGAAAATTAGCAAGACAGGAAACAACCAATGTTGGAGAGGATGTGGAGAAAGGGGAACCCTCCTGCACTGTTGGTGGGAATGTGAACTGGGGCAGCCACTCTGGAAAACTGTGTGGAGGTTCCTCAAAGAGTTAAAAATAGACCTGCCCTACGACCCAGCAACTGCACTGCTGGGGATTTACCCCAAAGATGCAGTGAAACGCCGGGACACCTGTACCCCGATGTTTATAGCAGCAATGTCCACAATAGCCAAACTGTGGAAGGAGCCTCGGTGTCCATCGAAAGATGAATGGATAAAGAACATGTGGTCTATGTATACAAAGGAATATTACTCAGCCATTAGAAATGACAAATACCCACCATTTGCTTCAACGTGGATGGAACTGGAGGGCATTATGCTGAGTGAAGTAAGTCAATCGGAGAAGGACAAACATCATATGGTCTCGTTCATTTGGAGAATATAAAAATTAGTGAAAGGGAATAAAGGGAAAGGAGAGAAAATGAGTGAAAATATCAGTGAGGATGACACACCATGAGAGACTCCTAACTCTGGGAAATGAACAAGGGGTAGTGGAAGGGGAGGTGGGTGGGTTGGGGGGGGTGACTGGGTGACAGGCACTGAGGGGGGCACTTGGCGGGATGAGCACTGGGTGTTATGCTAAATGTTGGCAAATTGAACTCCAATAAAAAAAAACGATGCAAAAATTTCCCTCTCTTGGGATATCAGATAATACATACATACAACAATTACCTACATGTAAAATCGTTTTTAAAGTGGTCAGCAAGACCACCGTTTCACAGGTGATTCAGTCCTTCTGTGCTTTTGCCAAATATACTTGGTGATTTACCTAAAACCCGAACTTCTTTCCTTCTCTTCGTGGCTTTTCTTTTCCAGGAGCCAGAGGGGTTGAAAAAGGCTGGAGGGGAGGAGGGGGTTGCCTAGTGCATGTTTGCGTTGTCGCCAAAATTTAGTTTTTATTCTTCAAGGTAAAAGGTTTCATACCTTAAGGAGTTTAATTTGCTGTGGTTGTAATTTAGACAGCTCCTGGGCCAATGCTGGACACAGAGAAAGGCAGCAAACCACGGGAAGAGACTATTACTTCAGTCGTGGGGGGGGGGGGAGTAAAAAATAACGGAGACTTTCACAATTTAGATACAAAGAAATATTGCAAAGAAAAAAGAGCTAGACCGAGGGGATGGCGTGGAGGAGTAGGACACCTGCCGATCCCTGTGTCAATAGGTGATCTCAGATGCTGGAGCCACGGGAGGCCCAAGTTCTGGAAGCTGGAAGGACTGGATGAATGATAAAGCGGGTCTATTTCTGTTTTAGCGGCTGGAAAATATATTCTGCAGGTAGTGACCTCGTCAGATGAGCTGACTCACTTAAAACACACACACACACACACACACACACACACACACACACACACACACACACACACAAAACCTGCAAATGGATATATTTAAGACGTTGAGATATTGACGCCCTGCAAACAACTTGCACGCCAACGTCTTTACGATCAAATGCATTTTGGGGGCCGGCGATCTGGGAGGCCACAGGACGCACCCACGCGCTCCACCCAGCCCGGCTCCCCACCGCGCGGGCCGGCGCCCCCACCCCGCGCCCCCACCCGCGCCGGGCCGGGCTGCAGCTCCCGGGCTCCGGGGGCGGAGACTGTTCCCTCGGAGCAGCCAATCAGCAGCCGGGCCGGGCGGTGGCGCTAGTGACGTAGCGGCGCTTCCCTCCGCCCCGCTGCGGGCCGACGCTCGGCGCCGTCAGCCACGCGAGCCCGCGCGCGCGGGGAGGAGGAGGGCGCCGGGGGCCGGCCGGCTGTCGGAGGGCGGCGGGTCGCGGTGTGTGGGGGTGGGGGGGGGAGTGAGCATGCGCAGCGGCTCCGGGCTCGGCGCGGGGGGGGGGAGGGGGCTCCCGCGCGTGCGCGCGCACCAGCGGCCCGCCGGCGGCCGCGGGCGGAGGGGGCGGTTCCTCGAGTGTCGGCGGCCGGAGGGTGGGCAGGCCGGCGGCAGGTGCCGCTGCGGCGGGCGCCGCAGCCTCGTGCGGGCCGCGGGCCTCCTGGAGCCCCGGCGGCGAGGAGCTGGGCCCCGTCGGGGGCCGCCCGTGCCGTCCGCGCGCCGCCGCGGGCCTCCCCGCGTGACCTCGGCCTCCGCGCGGCGCGGGGTTGCCCCTGAGGGAGCGGCAGCGCCCGGCCCCGGCCCTCCCCCGCCCGCCGTCCTCGATGTCTCCCCGGCGGGGAGGGGGCTGCCTGGGAGACGCGCCGAGCCGCCCCCCCCGGACGCCCGTCGGCGGCCGCAGCAGCAGCGCCCGGCAGCCTTCCCCGGCGGCGGCGGCCTGGAGGAGCCGCGCAGCCGCCGCCGCCCCCGGAGCCTCGCAGCCGCCGCCGCCCCCCGGCGCCCGAGGAGAGGGCGGCGGGCGCCCCCCGGGGAGGATGAAGGCGGAGGGGGGCGACCACTCCATGATCAACCTGTCGGTGCAGCAGGTCCTGAGCCTCTGGGCGCACGGGACGGTGCTCAGGAACCTCACGGGTAATTGAGGCCCCGGGGCGGGGGAGGGGTGGGCGCGGGGGGGGGGGGCGGGGGGGCGGGGGCGCGCACGACCCCGCACGACCCCGCACGACCCCGCAGCTGCCCTTCCGCGGCCCCGGGGCGTGTGGCTGCGGAGACCCGGGCCCCCTCGCGGACGCGCCGCCGCTTCCCGCCGGCCGGCGAGCTTCACCTGTCAAACTGTGGTTGCTCCAGGTGACTGCGGAGGCGGGTCGCGCTGGGTCCCGGGCCGGGCCCAAGGTCCCGTGGCTTCGGAGCGTGGCAGCTCTGACCCCACGTCTCTCTCCTCCCCTTTCCTTTTGTCTGTCTGTCTCTGGCCCCCGGACATTCGATAATTCCTCTTTCCCCCTTCATTTGTCAAGGCTGTCAAGAGGGAGTTGGACTTAACTACATCGTAATAATTAACCTCGACTGTAGTTGTGGAAGTGAGCAGTAGTAGTCATCTTTACGGACTCTGTAGGTTCGGTTCGGGAAGAGACTTGCAGGTGGTTTGTTGAGGTGGACATCCTTATACCCCGCGTTCTGAATTCAAAACAAACAAACAACAACAACAAAACACTCTTTATTTGAAGAGTAGTGGTTAGAAGAAAGATTCGGTTGCAATTTGGTGACTCCTCCGTGTCTGCTTCTCGGAGAAAGAACTTAAAAACATACCCCGGATTTAATTCTTGAAAACGTGTAAGGCCAATTTTGGTAGGACATTTGAAATGCATCATATCATGAAAAAAAAAGAAAAGAAAAGAAATGCATTATATCAAACTGGTTAAGAATGTGAAGAGTATTTTAACGAATATAACCTGTCCTGGCAGGTTAAGTGCATGTATGTGTATGATATAGGTACTATATATCGTATATGTTTATATATGATACTATGTAAAATAGTAACACATATATGCGTATTTATTATAGAATCTGGCATGATAATTGAATTCAGATACGTGTAGAGAAAAATTTTATGGGATTTTATACCGCAGGAAGACTTTATAAAGACACTGATTTTCTTGAATATGGGAACTATACAGTTAATATAGATTCTGGATTGATTTGTAGTGTCCTCACTTTTAATCTGTGGTTATTTAATTTGGAGCACACTGACCTTATGTGATGGTTGAGGATCGGGAACATGTTCTTATTTCTAAAAAAACAAAAAAAAAAAAACAAAAAAAAAAACAGTGACTTGAAGACCATTTCATGATTCAATTGAATTTGGAGATAGCCTACTACGTTATCTTGCTTTTCTGGCTTTGCTCCTTTTTATCCACTGTTTATTGTTCAGATGTTGTATCAGTAGTGTTTGTAGGAGTGAAGTGAAAAGTGAGAATACATATTTGTGTTTGTTAAGGACTGGTTTAGCTCATCATTTATTTAGAGAGAATTAGTTTGGGGAGCCATAGAGTAGCGTAAAATGTAACTTACCACTTGGCTAGATTAGCAATATTTTTTAGATGTTTACTTTAGGATTCCAGTCATTATAGTGGCTTCTAGTTCCGTGGGTCAACCAGTAGGCTGACAATAGTAGTTTCAACCCAGGGTTAGCTCTCATTATCTCTAATACAGTTTTAATAATCGTCAGCTGCTCATTAGACTTTGCCATTTCGTAAAGGTTACGCTCAACATCCAAAACGAGTTCCTCAGGTGGGGCATGAGGACCTCTTCTAGGAAATAACGAGCCTGAATATACAAAATTCTGCTTGTCAGGGTAGAAATGGAGGAAGATGTAAATTAAAAATACACTTCACCAGCAGGTGAGTGTACCACATGATGGGACCACTTCACTTCTAAAAAAGTGGATTCTGGATATGGTCACATTGTGATGTGATGTGGTTCATTGTGGCCTTCTCACTCATGCTGGTGACCTTAGTGATCCCACATGTGGCTTGGTCATTAGTCAAGAGATGCTCCCCACAGAACCATTTAGAGTTTGGTCTATTAAAAACAAACACCTAAAACAAGACTACCACCACTTAGTGCCTGCTATGTATCAGGTACTTTACATATATTATTTCTAATCTTAAGAATAACTTTCCAAAGTAGAATTGCAGAGAACCCCAGAAAGGCAAAGGATGTTGCCCCAAAGCATATTGCTAGTAAATGGCCAAGCGAGGCTTTCCACCCTGGCTTTGCCCGCAAAACTACTCTTTCTTCATTACTTTCTTCAGGCAGAATGAGTTACTGCTTCACTCTGCTACCTCTGCTCCATATGTGTGCTTTTATTTTTATATTTTTCGATGACATTTTTATAGGTCTCTTCTAGACTGTGAGCTTTTGGACGGTGGGTCACTGTCATAATCACAGAATTTTGGAATGTTAGCATTATTCTACGTAGCACATCTAAATACTGAATACATGTTTATTGAATTGCATTTCTAAAGTAATTCTTAACAGTTGCATTAGTTAAAAATTCTAGTTGCGTTTGTTTCCAGGTACATCTATTGGAGTGAAAATGCTGTTAATTAGGAATGAGTTACTTAAGCAACTTTTATAGATAGGTGATACACGTTAAGCTACATAAATGCTTATTAAATGCACTTTTCTGTGCTAGTTATCATGCTTTCATGTATTTTATTTAATCTTTTCAATAATCTTGAAAGAGATTATTGTTTATGGATTCAGACATTGAAGCTACGAGTAACTTGCTTAGCTCTGATAGGTAATAAGTGAAAAATTACTACCTTTTTTCAGATCATGATAACACATTAACTCAGAAGGTATGTTTGTTATCATGATAAACTTGGAAATGAAACAGATACTGCAGAAAAGAGCATAGTTTAGAACCAGGCTGATTTGGATTTATGAAATGATTATGTGAAGGATTTGCAGAAATCTGGTTAATAGAACCTTTGGTTAATTAAAAAAAAAACAAAAAACAAAAGGAGAAGGTATTCTCATCTCTATTTTTTTCCCTTCTACTAACAGAAATAACAGATGTTATTTACTCTTCTCTTTGTATTTTATCCTAAAAAAAGGTGAAGCGGGAAAATTTTTATATTGACTTTTTCCCCCTTAGACACTGACCTTTAGGAAACAGTGTTGTGTATATATTACTTTGATGGAAATAAATTTTTAAAAAAATTGAAAAATAAGAACTAGAAACTAGAACAAGCTTTAGAACTAGAAGTTATGTAGTTTGACTACTTCATTTTAGAAATCTGATGTATCACATCATTGAAGTGACATGGCCCGGATCCGTTATGCAGTGACACAGGCAGGCCTAGAGATGATGTTCAGTGACTCTTAGTTCTGTGCCTTTCGTTTTATTCCACATGGATTCTTAACTCGGGCATGTTTGGTGATAAATCTTTAGATACTTAAGAATAGCGTGGTAATATTTGCCCCCAAGAGCCTCAGAACATGTGAATGGAGCTAGTTTTTGTCCAGTAAATAAAAGTACTGGAAAATGCAAGACATTATTGAATAGTAATACTTTCCCCAAATTTTAAGTTGCCATTGCCTGTGTAAAAGTTAGTGATCTATATTTATTATATGTGTAGTTTTAGAAATTCTACCAAGTTTGGTCTGCTGTTTATTTTTTTCTCCTTTCTGAAGACACTAGTATAGGGATTCCATATAGAACAGATTTTCCTGGAGATCCCATCTCCTCCTTAAATCACCATTGCTAGAGTTCTCTTCTGTACCCATCACTTTCCAAAGTGCATAATTCACAGGATTCTAAAATTGTTAATAGTGTATAGGTTATTATACACTTCTTCAGCTTACTGGAGATAAATTCTTTCTTTGTGAAACAGTTTTTCTTTCTCTATATATGTTCTAAATCCCACTCCCCTAATCTAAAATTACAGTCCATATGCACGTATTCTTTCAGTTTTATGAGTAATTTAACTTAAATAATCTACAGTGAAATATATTCCTTTGCTTTACTTTTATTTTCGTCAACTACTTTGGCTCCCAATTTTGTGTTCTGACCCAAATTTGGTTGCTAAGAGTTTAGAGAAAAATTTTTTACTTAGAAAAATGCAGGATCCCTAAACCCATGGGTAAACACAGAGTCAGGCTGGTACTGGGAAAAGAATAATTGGTCCCTGGGAAAAAAGGCACAGGCTGGCCTCAGGCTCATCTCCTTTCTCCATGTCAGTTGCAAATGTGGAGCAGGTGCTCCCCTCTTCTATTGGTACAGACATTGAGAAGCAGGGAATTCAAACTTGAATGAAGGTCAGATGTCTTTGTGTGTGCATAAAATATATATGTGCTTATTTTTATGTTATACATGCACACTATTATAGTTCCCTTCTAGACTTTATAGTTGCTAAGCTATTTAGTGTTACTATTGATTGTCGGAAAAAAAAAAAAAAAGAGAGAGAAAGGTGGAGGGAAGTGTGTATCCACTGCATGTAGTTGGGATTGTTCACACTCACACTGGTATATAGCCAGCACCTTCCTTCAGTATGCTTTCAAGAAAGTGTGCAGCTTTCTGGGATACCCTGCACCCCAGCTCCCTTGTGGATTAAGTTCCTCCTTGTAAATGCTCAGTTATAGGAGGTTTTTCTGAAATACAGGTGAAAAATTCTTTACTCTTTTGTGGTACAGTCAATTAACTAGTGCTGGTATGTACTATTGTAGTTTATAGGAGTTCACTTTTTGGAAGTTTTACCTGAATATCTTACTGAGAATGAAGCTTACTGAAAATGAAGTTACTGTAATTTTTCAAAAACCAGAGTTGTCATCTGCAGGTTCTTACTGTCTTAATCTCCATCTCATTATCTTTGAATCATGTATCCATATCCTCTGGCAATAGCAAGTCTGAGGTCTAGATGACATTTCTTAAACCTAAAGCAATTTCTGGGTAAGTCTTAGGACAGTGTAAGCTGTAATTCTGACTCTTATTTAATAGACGTAATGTAAATTATCTTTGCTTTGTTTGATGAAAGGAAGGACCAGAAAAGTAAGATAACTTATGGAGAGTCAAAATAACTAGAGATATTTGTCTTGTAGAAAGGAATCCTAAACAGAAGAGGAAGGGTGAG